ATAAGATTAACAAAGGTATTATGTGTCCTTTCCCCAATCTAAAACCAATTATCATGTACCTTGCCCTTCGTGAGTTCTCTCAAGCCAAATGATTTTCACAAAAACAATAAAAAATAAAAAAAAATAAAAAAATAAGAATCCTTCTATTTATCCAATCTAAAATGGAAAATAAAGGGAGATGTTTTTCACTCTAAATAAAATGACTTTTTAAAGTGCCGATAACAATATCCTAAATAAAAAAGACATATGATCTACTTGCAAGCTCGAAGCCTTTATCTGATTGATCGACACTTATTTACCCATTGATTAGTTCTCGTTTAACTCTTATTAGATTGTAATGTTTAAGTTTTCAGCAGACACTTAAAAAGGTGTAATACAAACCCTAATTAGTGAGTTAACCCTAAAGTTATCAATCATGTCAGAAATGTCATAAAGTTACTGCCAATTAATAAACCCAATGATGTTTGTGTAAAAGATAAAAATTTAGGATCAGTTTGATAAATAATTTGACCTTTTGTGTTAGAGATAAAGAGAAATATACACCAAAAAGGAGGAATGAAGAAGAATGGTAAGAGGAGGATGGAAACAAATAAAAATGAATGAATGAAAAGAAATCTCTTAAAAGTGAAAACAACTTGAAATAGTTTGAAATAGTTTTTAGTTTCTCTTTGTGTACCATTTTTTATACATGTCTTCAACATCTTTTATACATCCTTCCCCTACTCTGTATTTCTCCTTTTCATCATATAATTTCACATATCTAAAGCACGAAATATAAAAACTAAAAACTAATAGTTATAATGACTGAGTATGTCATTATTTGCATTTCACACATATGGTATTATAAAAGATAATTTGTGTGTGTGTGTGTGTGTGTAAAGCGCCTCCACTTTTCATACTTATAAATCCCCCACCAACTTCTCTCCATAAATACACTCATCAACAGGGCTTTTCTGCTTTCCTACATATGTTGAGCTAATTATTAACTGGCAAAATAATCTCTCCAGGTTTTAGAAGGTGATCAGATGGGTAGTCTTCCTCAAACACCGAACAGTACTAGTAATCCTCACCTTTATCCTCAAGCACTCCAACTTAAACTTTACCAGGCCTTCATATTCTCGATTCCTATCCTTTTCTCCATCATTCTTTTCCTTCTCTTCTACTTGTTCTACCTCAAAAGAAGGGCTTCCGCTCTCTTATCTTCATCTCAACCAGTTTTTCCAAGGAGTAATTATAATCTTCAAGCTGCACCTACCAGATACCATGTTTCCACTGTAAGTCTCTCTCTCTCTCTCTCTCTCTCTCTCATAACATTAACATACATGCATGCATACAAATTAACAAAACATTGGTGAGTTAGGGTAAGGTGATGGTAAGAGCAGGCTAGAGATACAGCAAGAGATTACATATTAATTTAATATTATATGTGATATGGTTCAATATATTTTGCGTTCCAATTGCAGACCTATAGCAGCGAAGCGATCATGTTCATACGTATTACGTCCATTGCAATTAACGATTATATTAACAAAGACATATTCATACAATTTACAGAGTCGGATTATATACATACAGCTTCATTTATTTCTATATCCAACTTTAGAAATGTTATTACATTATATGTGTAGGCTTGTCCGGTGGGTTTGAAGGGGGAGCTCAAGGAGAAGCTTCAAACAATTTCATTTGATGAAGAACAAAGGAAAAAGGATTCACAGTAAGTTTAAATTATTTCTACCGTTATTTTTTTGGTTACAAATGAGGCTTCGAACTTTGCATCGTAGCATACTCCTACCGGTATAAAATTGAATAGGTCTTTGTATTAGAGACACAAATGCGGTCCATAATCAATCGTGCCCTACAAGTGGTATGTGCCAAGATGGTGTCATATCATGAAGTTGAAAAGCCAGTATGCACTAATTAGCCAACCAACTATTGAGATATTTGACCATTTAAAAGAAAACTAAAATAAATAAAATAAAAAAGGAGTTAAATTTCTACCTCAACTCTAATAGAAAAGGACACATCCTTGAAATTCTCATCTAGTGATCATGGAGTTTTATTCTTGCTACCGGTTATGGCCTAAAAAGGCCTGCAAGGGTAGTTGTAATAGAATCTCTTCACATGTGAGTTTAGAACCTTTCATAGCAACCACTATCTTTCTCAAAAGTGCTTTTCAAGACACCCTTTTAGACATTCTTTTTAAAAAAGCACTTGTAGTTTTTACACTTCTTTTTTAAGAACATCTATATTGTAATTAAAAATGTAAGTGATTTCAAAAAAAGGAACTTAAATGTTTTCTAACAGAATTGTGCATGGGTGCACACACATATATTAGTTCACTTTCGATAAATTGAAAGTGTTTGTGGTGCGAAACATTGTTAAAAGCACTTTTAGTGATGTGAAATGTTTTTCCATAGTAAAGCATATGTATGAGAAGTGGCATATTTGGAGGTGGAGACAAATCGTGAATAAAGTTCAATAAAATTGTGTGTGCAATTGCTTTTTATTCTTGTTGATAGGTAACGAATATTGAATCACAACACCCCACCTGCAGCTCAATATTATTAGCTTACTCAACCTATCATCATGTACTTCTATCGCTCCTTTTAATTTGATGAAATTACCAGATTTTATGTTAGGCTAATTAGGTTTTATAGCTAAACATGCACCTAACGAAACCCTAAAATTTATTTTTGACAGATGCTGCGTTTGCTTGAGTGAATTCGAAGTGGAAGAGGAATTACTGCAAGTGCTATCATGCAAACACGTGTTTCATGTTGATTGTATACATCACTGGCTGCATAACAACACAACTTGCCCACTTTGCAGATGCTCTGTGATTCCCATCAGTACCAAACTCGACAGTCCCGCACCACCTGCAGCTGCTAGTGTGTCCGATCCAGTAATACAAGAGCAGCACCATAGCATAATAATCTCCCATCAGAGTCCAGGGAGTATTGTATTATTGGACCAACAAAATCAGCAACAACAGTATCAATCGGGCAATAATGCTATTTCTAGTGTAACAATACCAATTGAAGAAGGTTCATCATCAAGTGATCAAAGTAGTACAAACTTAAGGTACTCTGGGAGGTTACCCGGGCACTATACTAACGAAGATTTGGGAGAACCAGTCATTGTCTATATCCAAACTCATGATTCATGAGACAAGGAGTGTATGTGCGTATACACGAGAAAAACTTATATGAGACTGTTTCTACCACATGAGAGTGCTGAATGCATGACAGAAACCACATTCTCATGAGACTATTGCTTTCTGATGGTGTTGAACGAAAGAAGTCGAATCGTAGCGAGATTCCAATTTTGACGGCAGTTAGCTAGATGAGAGTGTAGTTATATTTCTTAAACCTCAATGAAAGTGTTTATAAACCTAATTGTCAATAGTCTCAATGAAATTTGGAGCAGTGGAAGTTCAGAGCATACATGTTCTAATTTTTATTTTTATTTTGTAGTGGTAGCCTTAAAAAAATATGAGCTATGTGACAATATTGAAAAACGGAAAAATCACACCATTTGCAAAGGAAATCTGAAATTTTCCTAATTGATTGTACAAAAAAATTAGAAAACATTCAATGGGGATGTTAAAATTTTCATCACAATTGGATATAAGAGTCAGTTAGCTGTATAGAAGATAATTTATTAAAATGCAGAATTTTCGAACCCAGTTCTTTAGAGAAAGCATCACACATTAAACTACACATTTGGAAAGGAAAAAGGATGATCGTCGACAGCAGGGTTCGAACCTGCGCGGGCGAAGCCCAACAGATTTCAAGTCTGTCTCCTTAACCACTCGGACATATCGACAAGTTATACGGGGAGGGAAAATTCAATTGTAAATAATGCTAATTATTTCTTTTCACTCTACAACATACTTCTTCATCTACATTTAGTCCACGCTTATGACATGTTTACATTTACTACTCTATAATCAGAATTAAACAAAAAGTTTGACTTCGATTAAAATGTAGTTATGTGTTTACGAACCATGGAGGAATCAAAATAGAAGGGGGTCCACACGGAATAAGAAATTTAACCCTTCATTTTGGAAAAAAATGGATTCTTTAGGGGAGGTAGTATTCTTATTCCGCCAGAAAGAAGGGTAGTAATGCATATTTTGTAGCCATAATGCACTCACATAATTTCTAAATTTTCAAGTTCACTATTAATTAGCATACTAATGTCTTGTAGAACGTGAGCATACTAACATTCATATTGTTTTTTATTCCGATTCAAGTGAACCAGTCAACCTAAACAATTTTTTTATTTTGGAAAGAAGCGATAAAGTTTTATTACAAAGAGCAACCCCAATTACAATAGGTATCAAATGGGTAGATATTTTCCAGTAACCAATTTATTGATTTGAAGATAATTCGCACAAAAATGCAAATGATTTTAAATGCTTAGATGGCTACCACACAAACCACACTACTAGAACTAGAGGTCTCGAGGCAGATATGTCACAAAGACGAGACATAAAAACTTCGTAGAACTAAGAGTCTCAAGGCAAATATGTCAAAAAGACGACTCAAATCCAGTACAAACATAGTTCACATTGTATTAGCAATGGCCTTAAATTATGAGTATGATAAGTAGTGTACAAATCTTTAATTTTTTTTTTTATATAGCTTTTGAATAATGAAAAATTATGATTAAGATTAGTAGTGTGCAAATCTTTAGCATAATTCACTGTGAACTTTGCATAAGCAATAACTCTTGCCACGAGAAAAGAAAAATGTCAGTTCTTTTTTTTATTTTTGTCAAATTTTGGGTTGTTGTTTAGGGGGCAGGAGCAGAGCACCAACCGTCGAACCCAAGACCATGATTTGTCGTGCAAGCGCACTCAACCATGAGGCTGGGGAGAGGGTCGGTCAAAGAAAAATGTCAATTCACTAAGATGAATAACAAAGACATTAAATAATGCATTTCTGCATAAATTTGACTATTTGAGACCAATTTCTAAGGCTATAAATTTTGCATATTCAGTTCCTTAGAGTTACATGAGCTGCTGCAAATAGAGCAAATGCTAGAGACGTTGAAACTACGGCAGTTTTTTTAGGAATTCTTCCTTTATCTTTCCTACTGATTATGGCTTCATATATTGGTTTTGAGTTCACTGTGCCAAAGCCAGCTATAAAGATCTGCACAAACACTTCCTTTATGCTACACTTGCCTCTGAAAACCTCCACATTGCCCCAAGCAAAGGCGGCCAAGTTAACAATGGCCGCTATTGTTAGCGGCACAAACATTGCCGACGGAACTCCGAACTCAATGGTGCCTTGTTCATATCGTTTGCTTTGGTCATCATCGAGGACTTTACTTGTCACATTAAATCCATGTGAGGCAATGCCAAGGGATTTGAGAAAGAACTCAATGGTTCCAAACAAGAAGCTTGAGAGTCCCCTAATCAACCACATCCTTTGGTCATTCCACCACGTTTGGACCGTTCCACCAGCTAACACAAAATCTAGGAGATCTTGAATGTAGGCTCCGAGGAAAAGAAACACATATAGGAGAAACCATGGCTCTGAAACCTGCATTGAGCTACTTCAATCTTTAAAAAATCAGAGTAATGTTATACTTATCACATTTTTCATACCACATTTATATGTTGGAGAATGAGGTATGAAAAGCGTGGCAAGAGTAACATTTTTTTGAAAAAAATCATGAATTGTTGTAGCACATTTTGTAAAACCGAAATGATTGCCACATGTTCATAATACATTGTCAGAATGTTTTGAACATGGAATACATTGAAATTTTGGAATATATATAATATGTCAAACTGTCTGATAATAAAATGAGTTTACTCGTTATCACTGTTCTAAAAATCCCCGCCTAGCGCCGCGTAGGCGCTAGGCAGCTGGCTAAAGCCCCGATTATTGCCTAGGCATTTGAAAATTAAGGGCGCCTAGAGCTGCTAAGGCACCCGCCTAGACCGCCTAGGTACCCGCCTAGACCGCCTAGGTACCCGCCTAGACCGCCTAGGTACCCGCCTAGACCGCCTAGGTACTTGCCTAGACCCGTGTAGGCACCGACTAGGTTGCAACTCACTTAGATAGAAAATAGATAGCTTTCAATTTGCATTTTTTTTTAAATAAATGGTAGAGACTCGTTGAATATTTAAATGAACACACATTATATGCTTGTTCCCTATGTTTTCATTATGCCAATACTTCATAATATATATGTCATTCTATTTTGTAGTTTGTGATGAAATTATATATATATATATATATATATCATGTTATTTTGTAGTTTATGATGAAATTATATATATTTTAAGTATAAATAGACACCTATTTACACGAAATATAATAGATTTCCGCAAATTCCGCCTAGGCGCCCATCTAGCCGCCTAGACACTAGGCCTCAGACCACTGCCCGACTAGCGCATAGTATCTCTTTAGAACCTTGCTCGTTATCTAGAAAAAAAAATTGCTAAGGGTGAATATACATTAATTACCTTAGGAAATGTAGTTAGTCCGTTGAAAAGAGCTAGCTGGGGTAGAAAAGCATATGTGGTGATGGGGATAGACCAAATCGGCCAAAATGCGTAGTGAGCATAAGACAAGCCCATCAAAGGACCCATGACACAAGTTCCATATGTAATTGGACTATACTTAGAGAAAGCCACCTCAAGGTCGCCTATTGCCCATCGCTTGTTTTGGTTCAAGACATCAATAAGGTTCATTGGGGCATCCCCATAAAATGCTGCCCTAGTTGGATGGCAGAATATCGACTTCCATCCCTCACAATGCATACGATAACCCGTGAAAAAATCTTCCACTAGTGAACCATATCTCACACCAATCTACACAATATTTACACAAAAACAAGAAGCATTTTTAAGTTTTTTTGTCAAACACTACTAAAGAACTTACCTTCTAAAATAAATCTGAAAGCTGCCCTAATTAACGTACCTTCGAGCCCCAATTGGTACTAATCTCATAACTGCAAGCAGCAACACGGTGTGCCAACTCCGTAACCTCTGGAGACTGAATGGGATTGCTCACTACATTGGTTGGGCAAAGTTGAGGGATTTCAGGAGGTAGAAGATGTGATGGTTCTCCAAAGAATGCTCGTCTAGAGAAAAAGCTCCCAGTCCCAAAATAATTTGGTCCCAGTAGCCCATCCATTCCTACTGGGTTAATTTTATACAAACGCTTGTGTTCGCATGCATATATGTCGTTCTTGTTGATTCCATGAAAACGTTGAGGAAACTGCACAAACCCCACTTTGGGATCTGATGATAAGTAACATAATGCACGATGAGGCGTTTGTGAGTTGTTGGAGTAGGTATCACAGTCTAGGGTTAATATTATTGGAGCGTTGGTCATGGTAGCTGAAACTCGAAGCTTTGTTAACACCAACAAAAGACACAAGTGAAATGGTTAATCAGCTAGTGAAGAAAGTTAATCGAAAGAGATGGTTTTATGAGAAAATTATGTATAGATATGAAAGCTTACGAGGGCATTAAGCGCACCAGCTTTAAAATGATGGAGTGACGTCCTTCTTTTTTCTCTAGAGACGTATATTAGGTTTGGCATCAAATGGTCTGAGACGTCTTTGTCTTTGCTATTGTCCAAAACAACCTGCTCATGATATTGAGACACAAATCTCAGCATTAATGGGTTCCATTTGTGCCATACAAACTTTTAACAATTTTATTAATGGACTTAATCGTTAGGGAGCAAAGTGACATAAAAATTGAATTTCAATGCATGTTATCCTAAATAAGCATTATATAAATAACTACAAACTCAATATGTTGGAATCAGATGAATGATACGTCTTTAGCAAATTGTCTACTAAAAATATAACATAATTGTAATTTTCTTTTGGCTAGAAGATGTTGGGGGCATAACTCCTTATTAAGTAAATAACTGTGCCAAATAGAATAATTACTGTTGCTTTTGAGGTAACCCTTTTGTTTTTAATAATTCACAGGAGGGGAGATGAAGAATTAAAGTATTCTTTCCAGGTCGTAAAAGTGCTTTCACTCGAGTTAGAAAATACTTGGATAACTGTGGGATGATCTGATTTGGTAAATTTATCCGTCCATTTGCTAAAAGCTTGAATTTCCCGCTCTCCCGTTATATGTTCAGGACCAACCGTGCCGATCTCAATTACATTGTTTACCCTTACTTTCACGCCTTGGTACACATCCTGTGCCATGATTCAGAACATGTAATTTATATAAGCCAGTATTGGCAGTTGCTTTATAAATTAATCTCATTGATCTAAACCAACAAAAAAACAAAAGCACGAAATATAAAATGGTGTTGATCAATTTGTCATTATTCCAAAATAAACTTTGGCTCCTTTTTTTTCTGACAAGTAGACATTTTTATATTTATATCATTTACAATTTCACATGTGTATGAATTTTTTTATTTTTGATTTTTAATCAGTAACTTATTTGTACGAAAAAACTGTGATTTGCATAAATAAAAGAATAGTCAAGCAATGACTATGTTAGTATTATTTAGAATGTTTTCACTTGAGTTAGAAGATACGATATTTCATGCATTAAATAAAAGACATTACATAGAAACATTCATGAAAAGTTTAACCCCAAATGGTCTTTGCAAACTCGATTTAAAATGAATTACAATTAAATATGACCAATTACAAAACAATAAGCAAACTTCAAGCACTTCTTCAAAAGCAAGCTCACCGTAAACCTGAAAATTACAAGAATCAATAGAACATCTAAGTCTCGTATTACACATTATTTTGTTATACATATTAATATCTACATACATTTCAAGGCCGACCTTAGTGGTATGCCGGTGCAGCCACCAGAAAGAGGTTCCTAGCATATGTAGTATTAATTTCATGATAAGTAAGTTTTGACAGCGTAACTGTTCTCCTACCAACTGTTTTGGAAAATATGATATCCTAATCATAAGCATACGTATATTTGACAAACATAAATCTGGTAAAATAACAATTATTAACATATATACTGGCTATTACGTACCTTGATCTTCTCAGCCTCATAAAACCGAGAATGATCGGTAGCAAAATAAGCTTCTGGGTTGCACTCCACAATCTTGTTCTTCCTGCAAAAAGGCAACCAGTGGCTTGCAAACTTGGCAGCCTCCATGAAAGAAAAAAGAGTCAGCGCCGAGCCCCCGTCATCTGAAACATACACCGAAAGCTTCTCTGTCGGGTAATCATAAGCCATGACCGACAAGGCCGTGTTGACCACGTTCATTGGTGGCTCCTTGTACGGATCGGCAGTGCATATGAACACGTCCAATGCAGGAACATCCAATTCTTGTACAACCCTTTTCATGTTTTCAGGGAATTCGTCACGGTATATCGGTCGCATTCGTAAAGATTGTGTGGTGGTGAACATGAAAGCAAGAATAGAGTCGGAGACAAGGAAGGTGAGGGTAATGAAGAAAGATGTTGCGGTTGTGGAGTTGATGAGAGAAAGTGAATGGTGATAGAGAAGGGTTAAGATGGCACACGAATGAACCACTGCGAATAAGCGATTTGCGGTGGTTTGACGAGAAGGCTTGGACGTGTGAAGTGGGAGGTCGTCATGAGTGGTGGTCATGGTGTGCTTGCTGCTATGTCACACGCATGGGAAGGAGTTTTAGTTATAGGGTTTATACCAGATCGATCTGAATATATCAAAAAAGCATTTCACGGTACATGCATATTCCAAATTCCAATTTTATGCTAGTCAAGCATATGAATTATTGTTTTGGCAAGACAAAAAAAGTAATAAATAAATATCATTCTTCGGGACATGTGGATGACAAAATTATAATAATGGTATATGATAAACTTGATACAATTTATTTTTATATTTTTTTCATAACAATAATTTATTAAAATGTTATGTATTACCGCACTGCAACTTGAATGACATGCATATGATAAAGTTAATATTTTATAATTTTCGTGGTCCCTGTAGCCTTATTTTTAACGTGACTAATGTAGTGAAACTATTGTTAATTAAATACTTGTTGTGAACTCCGTTAGCAATTAAAAGTCCAAATCAAAACTTATGTTAGTATTCCGTTTAAAAACATGGTTACAATTGTCATTTTAAACAATTGACACAACTCATAAGCTTAAATCATCTATCGTATGAGTTCTCTAATAACTTCCCATTTCTCAATGATCATCTATGTGCATCAGAGTGCTTTCTTGGGACAATGATTGATGATAATGAAATTTGTAGACCACCAATGAGGGACGGTCATAATAAAGTTTATAAGTCGTTTTTAGATGTAATTGAAGAAAAAGAGGAAAGATTTCGTGAGAGGCATACATATGATCATTGAGAAATGGGATTTCAAACACATATAATTCGCTCGGCTTCTTAGTTAAGAGAATTGTTTGAAATGATGATTTTAACCATGTTTTTAATGAAATGCTAATAGAAATTTTGATTCGCACTGCAATTATTAACAAAGTTCACCATAAACATTTAACTAATAATTTTTTCACTACAAAAATCACATTAAAAATAAGGAAAACTAATGAAAAGAGCTTGAAAACTTTGAGTTTTAACGATAAGGACAAAATAAAGGGTAAAGTGAATAGTACAAAAATTAACTTTTTAATGTAAAAATGTGATTTTTCGTTAAAACCCCTTTAAAAATAAAATACACCGCAAAAACCACGAAAGAAATTGGCCCTAATAAATACATTATAACATAAATGCTTTGTTAATACTACATCACGACTACATTGGAAACTTTGAGTGCACCCCATAAAATATAATATTTATGGTTTCTTTTTCAGTAACAAAAGTAATAGAATAATCAAAATTTGCTTTGCAATCGTGGGCGACATTTCCCAATGGATGTATGTAAATCCGGTTAGACCATTAAGTTTTAGGTGTATAATTCTCATCGTAGATAAATTATTTAAAGGAAAACTAATAAAAAAGGATTTGAAAATTTTAAATTTTAACAATAAGGACAAGATAAAGGGTAAAATAAATAGTACTAGGATTGATTTTTCAGTATCGAAAGCTTTTCGTTAAAGTTCGTTAAAGTCTTCATTATTTAAAGAAAGATAGGGTCTGATTTCGTGAGTGCGTGTTCTCACGTCACTCCCTCCAACTTGGCCATAGTTTTATTATTTAATCATGAGGGTGTTGGTGGAAGGTCCTGCACAACGAGAAGTTTTTAATTATGATGAAAACACAAGTGGTACATCACGTATTTTAATAGGAGTGGTGTGAAATTTTATTTTTTAAGTTATTAACTTTTTAGCACACATATCCCACTATTTGCATAGTAACACATGGTGTACCACTCCGTATACCAGTCACACTGAAAAATCTCTCCTGTACAACTTGCAACACTGCACATGAATCACTGACCTTGGAATTTTGGAAAATGGAAATAAAAATGTTCAGCCCATGTCATCTTAGCAAGATGCAAATAAAAATGTCTATTAAACTATTCGACTATTATAAAATGTGTATATCAAATTCATCGTGCTATAAGTTTTTCATCATGTTTGATAAAATATTAGTCTAATTTATTATACATCCACCATAAACTTTGAACAACGCATTAAAGTCTTTATTGATTTTATAAATGTAGAAACTTCTCAAAAGGCCTATTTAAAGGAAACCTAACACAATGGACGGAAAGTGGTCCAAAATACAAATTTTATTTTGCAAATTGCAAAAGAAGATTGGTGGAGTAGACAGTAGAACACTAAGAAATCTGTGGGGCAGAGAGAGCACAAAGCTGCCGTAGACCCCCAAGGCTAAATACACTTTTGCGGGTGTTGATTATCATCAGTTCCTTAGAGTGACAAAAGCCAATGTGTAGAGAGCAAATGCCAGAATTGTTGAAACCAGACTAGTTTTTGTAAGAATTTTTCCCTTATCATTCCTATTGATCATGGCTTCATAAATTGGTACGCAATTCACTATGCCAAATCCAGCTATAAACATTTGCACAAACAATCCTTCCAAGCTACCACCGCCTCGGAAAATCTCTACATGGCCCCAAGCAAAGGCAGCCAGGTTGACAATGGCAGCCACTGTAAGTGGCACAAAGAAGGGAGATGAGACTCCAAACTCCATCATGCCTTGTTCATATCTTTTGCTTTGGTCCTCATCAAGGACTTTGCTGGTCACATTAAACCCATGTGTGGAAATGCCTAAGGACTTGAGAAAGTACTCAACGAATCCAAACGCGAAGCTTGAGAGTCCCCTAATCATCCACATTCTCTGGTTATTCCACCACTTAAGGAATGTTCCTCCAGATAATACAAAATCAACGAGTTCTTCACCATAGGCTCCAAGGACAACAAACACATACAAGAGAAACCATGGATCCGAAACCTGCAATACGTACTTAAATCTTAGTTTCAAAAGTGTAGCACGTCTTGTTTAACTAGGAACACTTGCACAGGATCGGACCTGAAATATTGTCATTATATCAATTTGAATGAATTGTGTATAGTTCTATTTAAATGTGTGGTATGAAGTCACAAGGTTAAAACAAAATAAGTCTGACAATAGAATATTGTACAATTTTTTCAAGAAAACAAACTAGTAAAGGGTGAGTGTGCATTACCTTTGGAAATAGGGTGATCCCATTAAGGAGCGCTAGTTGCGGGATGAAGGCATATGTGGTGATGGGAATGGCCCAAAAGGCCCAAAAAGCATAGGCGAAACCAAGGCCCATCAGAGGACCCATGGCCCGAACACCGTATGTGATTGGACTATATTTTGATAAAGCTACCTCAAGGAGGCCTACGGCCCATCTCTTGCTTTGATTCAACGCATCGAGAAGGTTGATCGGGGCATCCCCCAAAAATGCTGCCCTCTCTGGATTGCAAAATATGGCATTCCATCCCTCGCAAAGCAGGATATAACCTGTGAAGTAGTCTTCCACGAGTGAGCCATATCTTACTCCCATCTACACAATTTAACCAATTTCATCTATTAGGTTTCAAATTACGCTGTCATAATGTCATTGATTTGTAAGAAAAATGGGAGTTGTTAATCACGCTCCTGAAAGATCATGTTGCACTGTTAAATGATCGAGCTAACTACAACGAATGTAGGATGATTTTTTTGAAGTGTGAACAACGGTTCCCTGATTAGAAGATTCGTAGCACTAATTAGCTTATTTACATACCTTATATCCCCAAGTGGTATTATTCTCATAGTTGCAAGATGCAACATGGTTTGCCAATTCCAAAACCTCTGGATTCTGAAGGGGCTTGTCAACTACATTGTTAGGGTGTAGTTGGGGAATTTCTGGTGGTAAAAGCTTTGATGGCCCTCCAAAGAATGCTCGTCGGGAGAAAAAGCATCCAGTTCCTACATAATTTGGTCCTAATAGCCCATCGAATCCCCATGGGTTGATAATGAATAGATGCCTGAACTCACTTGCATATATGTCAGCCTTGTTGATTCCTTGAAAACGTTGAGGGAATTGGACATACCCCACTTTGGATCGAAGCTTAGGGTCTGATAGGTAACATAGAGCGCGAAGTGGCGTATCGGGATTATTGGAGTACATATCACAGTCTAGGGTTAAGACTATTGGAGCATTTGTCATGGTAGCTGAAACTCGTAGCTTTGTAACACAACATCAAAAGATAAACAAATTAGTTAATTTGTTTATTAATGTAGAAAATTAATTAATAAAAAGATGATTAATGAGAAAACTATCTAGGGTTTTGAGCTTACAAGGGCATTAAGTGCACCAGCTTTGAAATGGTGGGGTGATGTTCTACTTTTTTCTCTAGAGACGTAAATTAGGTTTGACATCAGATGGCCTGTGATGTCTCTGTCTTCGCTATTGTCCAAAAGAACCTGCTCATAATTCACAACATTCATATGCATGAATATTTGGTTGCTCATAAGTTATGCACTTCATATCTAACGTGAGGACGCAATTCGACGTTTTATGTTAGCAGCATAAACGGTTACTTGCAAGATTGTTAATTGCGTGATAAGTTTCAGTTAAAAACAGCTATCTTATGATCATGCATGTTCTAATCACGAGGATAAAGTGCTATATCACTTGAACGAGAAAAACACCTGAATGACAGCAGGATGATCTTGCCGTGTAAATCCATCTGTCCATTTGCTAAAAGCTTGAATTTCCCGTTCTCCAGTTAGATATTCCTGGTCGACTTTGCCTCTCTCCATTACATTGTTTACCTTCACTTTCATGCCTTGGTACATAATCTTGTGCCATGATTCAGAAGAACATGTAATTACTTAATTAATTAGCTCTTATTGTGGTGGGATCGATAATTTCGATCCATAAAGTAAACCCATTTACACAAACCGGAAAAAAAAGAGTATTGATATGTGTACTCACCTGTTCTATTTTCTCACTTGAATTTATAATTAAAATATAAAAGTCAAATCAATATAAAAAAATAAGATAGGTAAGTGGTTTAGTATACCAAAAAAAAAAAAGGCTGAGTAATCTTGAAGTCTACATTGCTCGTGTAAACGATGTTGGTTGTTTATGCATGAAAGGGAAAGGGAACAAAGGTGACAAACAAGTATTTTCTCCATATTAGCTGATGCCATGGATGGAGGGAGGTAAGGCCCAGTATTTTTCTTTACAAATTATTCAATTAATCATTCCCTTCTTTTTTTTCTTTTTTTTTTTTGGCTTTGCAGATTATTCAATTAATCATATTA